TGATCACACATCTTTTCTATTTTCCTTTAGTCTCCATTATCAAATCAAATATAATTACATAAACAAATAAACATGCATCCGGTAATACAATCATGTCTTAAATCCCAAAATCAAACAGTGGTCAAGTAAGACAGTAATACATGCATTTAAAGCATAAAATAGATAAATCAGATACCATCATTTTTTTAGACTGTAAAATAAATCAACAGAAATCAACAGAGAACCATGTCCGGTATGGGCTCTATTAGCAATCCGTAATTAATTATGCACATCTATTTAATTTGTACAAAATACATGTATTATTATTTATTCAAATTCCAAATCTATGATAGAAAATAGGGTGAGGGATCCTTACTTGATTTGACACCGAAAAGCTAAATGGTTTACTATGCCTACGGGTGGTCCCTAGGTTCCCTGAATTTTTCTCCGGGAACTGAAACACACTTATGGTACCTACACATGTCCCAAATAAACCCAAAAATCAGTCTTAGGGCCTATTCGGCCAATTTCAGAAATCCGACATGGCGGCGATCTGCCTCGGGTCGGCTGTTTTGGGCCAAATTCAATCGATTTTACATCGATTCCTGTGACCACACACGATAAAGGGCCTCAGTGGGCCGAAAGAATAGAAAAAACTAAAACTCACCAGCGGCGGGGCTCTCTAGTGTGACGGCTACTCCGGCTCACGTTGCAGTTGTGTATTTCGCTTTGGTCAACCTGTAGAGATGAAAACAGTGATCACAATGGTAGAAAAATTACACAAAACGAGAATTGAGAAGGGTTTCATCGGATGCGGTTTGTGAAATTCCCTGCAGCGACACCGCCTGGTTTCGGCAATATTTTTCCGCCAATTGGCCAGTTCTTTCACTCTGATTTGGCCATGGGTGGGTTTAAAATTAAATTTCATGCAAAAGAAGAAATTTTTACCTTTTTTGGCGGTCAGAAAGGGTTCCGGTGCGGCGGCGGGTGGCGGCTGTAAGCCCAGCGGCTAGGTTGTCTTCTCTAGCGAGGGGTTTTGGCGGTTAGGGTTAAGGTTTGGGTGCTGATGGGGTTATTTATACCCATTAGCTTTTGATCTGGGCCGTCCATCGCTTTTGATCTGTACCGTTCGATCGTGATTAAATAAGGAGTGAATCTAGGCCGTTCATCGCAATCAAATATGGGCCGTCCGTGCGCGCAGGAACGGACCTCAACCGTTCGATCGCGTGCACGTGGATCGCCCACGTAGAGCCCCGCGTGGCCTCCCGCATCAGCGCCTTTGCCACTTGGCGTATCCTGGTTGGTCGGGGTTGTTGACCGGGCGTCTGACGTAGTGTAATTTTTTTAAATTGCGTTTTAACCTCCGATTTTTTATTTTTCTTTCAAAAAATCCCTAGAACCCAAATTTTTACCATTTTTTTCTAAATTTTTTTCAATTCAATCCTTTATCAATTTACTCAATTTTTCTATTAAATTAAAATAAAACAAGATATAATAAAATAAATAAAATAATTAAAAAAATTATATTTATTAATAAAATATAAAAAAAGAAATTTTAGATAGGTGTTATAGGGATCCTTACTCAATTTGATGCCCGGAGCTAACTTGTTTGGCTGTGTCTACGGGCGATTCCTGGATTTTTTAAATTTTTCTTCAGGAATTAAAGCGTGCTAATAGTACCTACAAATGCTCCAAACAAACCCAAAATCAGTCCCAGGGGCCACTTGGCCAATTTCGAAGTTCCGGCACGGCAACTTCGCTGTGCTCCAGCGACGGTGCCGCCGCTCGCGGTGGCGGTTCGTCTCAGGTCAGCTATTTTTGGTCGATTCTGCATCGATTCTTGTGAGAAAATACGTTAAAGGGCATTGGTTGACCGAAAAAACACAAAAAAATAGAAACTCACTAGCGATGGGACTCTCCAGTGCGGCAGCTCCTCCGCCTCATATTGCGGTTGGGTGTTTTGCTCCAGTCAACCTGTAGAGAAGGACACAGTAATCATAAGGGTAGAAAAATTACACATAATGGGAATCAGGAAGGGTTTCATCGGAAGCGTTTTGTGAAATTCCCCGCGGCGGCAGCGCTAGGCTTCGCCTATATTTTTCGGCCAATTGGACAATTCTTTTGCTCCGATTTGGCCGTGGATGTATTTAGAATTGAATTCTGAGTAAAAAAAATTTTTTTAACCTTTTTTGGTAGTCGAAAAGGTCTCCGGTGCGGCGGTGGGTGGCAGCGGTCTCCTTCCTGGCAACTGGGTCTTCTTCTCCGACGAGGGGGTCTGGCGGCTAGGGTTAGGGTTTTGTGCGGATGAGGGTTATTTATATCCATCAGCTTTTGATCTAGGCCATCTATCTTATTTGATCTGAACCGTCCCATCGCAATTAATAAAGAGTGAATCTAGATCGTTCATCGCGAT